TTGTGCGGCGCCCCCTACAGGCATGGCGGAGAGGACTACGTCTTCAGCTTGCTGACGGGTTACTGCGAGCCGCCTGCAGGAGTCTCGGTGAGAGAAGGACTCTACTACAACCCCTACTTCCCCGGCCAGGCCATCGGCATGGCGCCGCCCATCTACAACGAGATCCTGGAGTACGAGGACGGTAGGTGGCACCCGATTGGCTGCCGCGCCGCAGAAGGCCGCGTCTCATTGGCTGTGTCTGGCTGCAGGAACCCCGGCCACCATGAGCCAAGTGGCCAAAGACGTTTGCACCTTCCTGAGGTGGGCGGCCGAGCCGGAGCACGACCAGCGGAAACGCATGGGCCTGAAGGTAGGCAGGGGGCGGGGCTTAGGGCGGGGCTTAGGGCGGGGCTTCAGCCTTATTGTGGTTTATTAGATTAATAATCTCAGGTAGATTATCAAACTATTCCACCTGGATCAACACAAGACAAAGATTAGAAACGGAACATTGATAAATACTTTACAAGACAAAATTAAGACTAAATTTCAGTGATTTCAGAGATTATTTAAAAATAAATAATCTTCCCTTAAAGTATAAATTTGCTAATTTCATCAGTTCAATATTTATTTGTTTCAAATCTGTAATGTTCTTTTTTAATTAGGAGTTAATGTCTTTACAGAAAGCAACATGTTCAGTGAAATAACTGCAAATAACTGTAAATAACTAAATTACTAAATAACTAAATTAATAAATAACTAAATAACTAAATTACTGAATAACTAAATTACTAAATAACTAAATTACTAAATACCTAAATAACTGTAAATAACTAAATTACTAAATTACTAAATAACTAAATTACTAAATTACTAAATAACTAAATTACTAAATTACTAAATAACTAAATTACTAAATAACTAAATTACTAAATTACTAAATAACTAAATAACTAAATTACTGAATAACTAAATTACTAAATTACTAAATAACTAAATTACTAAATAACTAAATTACTAAATACCTAAATAACTGTAAATAACTAAATTACTAAATTACTAAATAACTAAATTACTAAATTACTAAATAACTAAATAACTATTACTGAATAACTAAATTACTAAATAACTAAATTACTAAATACCTAAATAACTGTAAATAACTAAATTACTAAATTACTAAATAACTAATTACTAAATTACTAAATAACTAAATTACTAAATTACTAAATAACTAAATTACTAAATAACTAAATTACTAAATAACTAAATTACTAAATTACTAAATAACTAAATTACTAAATAACTAAATTACTAAATAACTAAATTACTAAATTACTAAATAACTAAATTACTAAATAACTAAATTACTAAATAACTAAATAACTGTAAATAACTAAATTACTAAATAACTAAATAACTGTAAATTACTAAATTACTAAATAACTAAATAACTAAATTACTAAATAACTAAAAACTGTAAATTACTAAATTACTAAATAACTAAATAACTGTAAATTACTAAATTACTAAATAACTAAATAACTAAATTACTAAATAACTAAATAACTGTAAATTACTAAATTACTAAATTACTAAATAACTAAATTACTAAATAACTAAATAACTGTAAATTACTAAATTACTAAATAACTAAATAACTACAGCTGTTTGTTAGTTTGAGGCAGTGGTGATGCAAAAGCAACCGTATCCATAGCAACAGAGACCGGTGCGATGTCACGGCTTTGCCGTAACGTCCCTAACGAGACGTTTGTCCGTAACGTCCCTGACGTTTGTCCGTAACGTCCCTGACCTTTGTCCGTAACGTCCCTGACCTTTGTCCGTAACGTCCCTGACGTTTGTCCGTAACGTCCCTGACGTTTGTCCGTAACGTCCCTGACGTTTGTCCCTGCAGCTGCTGATGGGCTCTGCCATCCTCATCCCTCTGGTCTACTACATGAAGCGACACCGATGGACGGTGCTGAAGAGCAGGAAGATCGCCTACAGGCCTCCAAAGTAACGGACAACAAGCGCACCCCGACCCAGGGCTGAACATGAGAATGGTGCGTTCAAAAGCCCCACAGAGCTTATTGCCCTCTAACTCTGCCCCCTAGGGGCAACTGATAACACACAGCATGTTTTCAGACGAATATACGATGATTTCAGTCAAAAATCCCTTTTTTTTTCAAGCAGTTGTTATTGAAAACCTGTGATAGTTTTCGTCTGAGTGTTCTTGAACGCATCCTGCTCAGAGTGTATTGACCTCCATCAGCAGCGGCGGCTACATGCTGTCTGAGTTTCATTATCTCTGCAAGATACTCCATGCTGACGCTCGTCTCTGGGTCGGCCTCAGGCTTCTCAACGTTCTGCGTTTGTAAATTAATTGTTTGTCTTCAGAAAGTCTGACATAAACTGTTTTACTGTACAAAATAAATTCTTCTAAACGAATCTGTCTGGTTGGATGTTTCTGTTCTGCAACAGGTCTGGTGCAGCTGACGGCTTAATCCAACCCTGGATTATAAATCCAGAGAGGTGGGCGTGGCCCCTCAGCGGGGGGCGTGGCTACGCACTGAGGGGCGTGAAGAACTGGTTCCTAAAAAACTACTGGAGATGGCGCTGCTGCGCATAACAAACCTGAATGGCCGGGCCTGGCGTCAGCGCCGCCCGCATTCGCCTCATATTGAATCAGAACGTTGCTCCAGCTGGTTCTGGGTCACTTTATGCAGTCAAATGTAAAGTGAAATCATGGCATTAGCATCAGTAACAAGCTGTGAAGTCTCCTGTTCTCCCAGCTCCTCACGTTCCTCTGAATCCACTCGGCCCAGTTCAGCAGTGGCTCTCTGCTACTGGGAAAGCAACCTGGAAAATGCTGAATGGTGTCCACTGCAGCTGGACCAGCGTCCTGCAGGTCAGACCCAGAGAAACATTTTGCTGACCTCTGACTTCAGGAGGAGAAACGTCCCGTAATTTACTCCATTTATCAACACAATCTTTAAATTATTGCAATACTTCATACCAAGCATCTTGTGTTGGAAAACAGCTGTTCCTGTAAAGGTTTCCGTTTTTCTGGCCTGTTTCTGACCTGCGAATGAAAAGCTGTTGTTTCAATTCAATCTTCTTCCTTTCACACTTTGAGAAGAGCAGAGCAAGTAGTTCTCTCTTATATTCAGTATGAATTATTTATCATTTGTGGGGATTAAATTATAAGAATTTCTCCAAACTATTACTGCTTTAAATCAGAAAGAATTTCCCCCCATCATTCATTTCTATGGATTCATGTCCAGAATACGAGGATTTGAAACATGGTGCAATTCAAGCCTAATGTTTACAGAAAACACTTATTAATTGGAACTCATTATTTTAACCCTAATTTTTGATTATAATTTAAGCACAACTCAAAAACAAAGTAGCTACTTATTTTTTCTCTTGCAGAAGAAATGAAAGTTGTATGTTTTATTGCACCTCAGCGAAGCGACAGCCGGATCTCCCTGCTGCGCCGCATTGATGCTTTAATTCAAGCTAAAGGAGCCCAAAGCCTCCAGCATTTTTATTGATCATATTCTGATCTTCTGCCACTGAATGAATATTTAAAGTGATCCTGTGTGTAAGAAACTAGTTCATGCCTTTGTTTTTAGCAGACTTGATTATTGCAATGCATTTCTTACTGGATTACCAAAAAAAGCATTAAGACAGCTCCAGCTCCTCCAGAGTGCTGCTGCAAGAGTCCTTACTAACACAAAGAGAGATCAGCACATCAGTCCAGTTCTCAGATCTCTGCACTGGCTGCCTGTTGCTCAAAGAATTGACTTTAAAATGTCCTTAATAGTTTATAAAGCACTTCAGAATAGAAATCCAAACTACATTTCCGGTCTTCTGCAACCCTACGTACCACTCAGACCATTAAGATCATCAGAATCAAACCTATAAACTATACCGAGAGTCAGAAGTAAAGACGGAGAAGCAGCTTTTAGTTTTTATGCTCCAACACTATGGAATAAACTTCCTGCTCATTGTAAGTCTGCGCCTACCTTTAATTTATTTAAAACAAGGTTAAAAACCTTCTTATTTGAAGTCGTCTATTCTTAAATTTTTAATCCCACTCATTTATTATAATTACAATTTTAATGTTTACTTTGTCTATATTTTTTTTCTTTATTTTTCTTCTAACAGTATGTATTCTTTATTTTTTGGGTGGGCGTGTCGCGGAGGGCTTGTCGCGGTGGGCGTGTTGCGGTGGGCGTGTCGAGGTAAGCATGTCTCGTAGGGCGTTGGCTGTTACTGAGGTATGAATGGGAGCCATACTGGCGCATGGCTTGGTATGTAGAAGGAAACAGGTGCGCTGGTGGTGCGCTGGTGGTGCGCTGGTGGTGCGCTGGTGGTGCGCTGGTGGTGGTCATCATTTCTCTTGACTGTGTTGTAATGTTGCTTATTGTTGGCACCATTTTTTGGTTTAGCCTGGTCAGGTGTCAGTCCTGTAACGTCTGAAGTTATGGCAGTAAAGTGGAATAAATCGATGCTTGCAGCAACAAAGAAGCGGCCTGGAGTGTTGAAGCGTCTGACAGTTTGAAATTCACCAAGTGACCCCATTGTGGCGCTCTACACCACCGGTAGTCTGCTGCACAATTAGGCATCATGGAGGAGCACTCAGCTTCCGGAACCCAGAGAGTCTGGGCCAACGGAACCAAGAGACGGCCTAGTCAAAGCCCTGCAGAACCTCCCACCTGAACAAGGAGTCTAGATCCCTCTTGAAAATGAGATCCAGATGTCAACGGGGTTTACCTGGTGATGGAGACAAAGTCATCCACAGCAGCTGGGCAACCATGAGGGAACCTGACAAGTTGCCCTGTCCATGAGAAGACGGCCATTGTTAAAGCAAACCATCAAGAGTCTGGTTAGCCGTTAGCCACTAGCAGCCATGTCGGACTCGGTGTTCGTTCAGACCAGAACTAAACTGAACTTTACTTTGTGTTCCAAACTATGATGGTGTGATATTTCCTCAGATTGTCCAAGCAAATGATGGTAAATATAATTTTATTAGAGAATAAATACATGTTACTGAACAAACCTCCCAATGACAGCAGGATCTTTTTCTTTGTTCCAACTGATTATTTACAGCAAATTTGTAACTTTGTGGCTTATGAAGAATTATAAATGCTGATTCTTTGAATGCAGTAGTGGTCTGTACTAAAATCAAAAGCTATTTATTTATAGACTCAACATTTATAAACTCAACTCTGATCATCATTTTCCTCATCAGGTGACGCTCCGCCTCCGACATTTTCATCTCAATTACTGCCTTTGTTAATAATCTCCTGAGCAGGAACTGCTAGTTATTTATAACCAAGCCAGACTTCATTGTTGAATGTCAGAGCGATGGATGGACTTTCCAGTGAGTTACCTGAAAGCCAGCAGATTTTAATTTACTTCCACATATCTTACTGGTGATGAGAAGCGATACTGGGAAGGCCGCGCCTCCAAACAGCCCCAGCTGCTCCAACCGTTCTGTCTTCACTCATCAGTCCTTCATCTTCAGCGTCTTCCAGTGTTCAGATGACACTGAGAGAAAACAGAAGGAACTCATGTTTTTAATTATACTTTCTTTCTATATAACAATTGATTTGCACTTTTTTGGACTTTCACATAAAATTCCAGTGAAGAATATTGATGTTTGTGATTGTAAAGAGACGATACATGGAAAATGTCAAGAGGTGTGAATACTTTTACACGCCACTTACAGCCAGTGGAAATATCCTTATGAATATTGAACAACTGCTTAGTGATAATTAGTTCCCACATGTTCCTGGAAAGGTCCCTCAAATTAGATTTGTCTTCGGGCCGGACCGGATCGGATCGGGCCGGACCGGCTCCGGTCGGGTCGGATCGGATCGGGCCGGACCGGATCGGATCGGGCCGGATCGGCTCCGGTCGGGCCGGACCGGCTCTGACGCTAAAAATAGAGGAAAGGTTTTCTGTGGAAGACTCTTCATTAGATGCCTTCCATGCTGTCAGAACATCACTTCATGATTCACTTCAAATAAAAAAACTTTTTCACAAATGTTTATTTTATCAACAACTTCAATCTATACAGTAAAATAAAATGTCATGAGAAAATAAAAGCAATTCTTCAGAATAAAGTCAGAGAGTTGTATCCTTTCTGTTCCTCTGTTTTGTATCATTGCACTGATTCAACTCAACCTCAGAGACACATTTTCAGGGATGAGCTTCAACGGGGACGCATGTGCAGAGTTAAAGTAAGGAAACAGTTTCTCGGTGAAGGAATAAGTGAAGGTGTGAATGACAGTGTTGGTGTTGAGGTCGAGGAACACCAGCTTCCCCCGGTTCCAGTCCAGAATGGTTTTAATCCTGCTGAGCCGTCCGCTCACCGGCAGAACCGTGGACGGTTCCGACAGGGCCCGGGCCACGTACTGACCGCCAATGCAGCCGATTCTCCACAGACGAGTCGGATGGTTTCCTTTCCTCTGGACGCTTTGGGAGGCGACTCCCACAAACCAGTCCGTGTTGTCTCCAACCTCAACGTTCCAGCTGTAGGTTCCCGTCATGAAGCCCTCCGAGCCCAACACGATGCGGAAGAAGTCAAACCTCTCCGGGTTGTCAGGAATGTTCTGCTTCTGGCCGCATCTCACGCTGGTCAGGTCTTCAGACAGGATGAGCTCAAAGTTCGCGCTGTTCGGATCCAGAACCACAGGACTGTAGGACACCAGATGCTTCATCTTGTTCCAGATGTTGAAGCTCAGGTTGCCCAGGTGTTTGGCCACATCTATCAGGGCTCCAGAGACAGGCTGAGGATTCTCCAGCAGGAGGCGCTGTTGGATGGTTTCTGCAGCAGTCCTAAAGCTCTGCAGCATCACGGCGTCCTCAGCCTTTATCAGTCCCTCTGTGTCTTTTATTGTCTGTGAAAGAGCAGCAATCTCTCTACTCAGGGCATCGATCTTTAGGCTTAACTTCTGAGTCTTCTTGCTTTCTTCTGTCCTCAGAGCAGCAACCCTGGCATCTTCCTCCTTGTGGAGGAACAGATGAAGCTTCCTGAACTGCTCCTTGACCCGGCCCTCGGTGTGTTGGGCCTGGAGCTTAATGTGTTCAGCTGTCTGATCCAGGTTTCCCTTCTCTTCTTTCAACACCTTCAGTTTGTCCAGCAGTGGCCTCAGGACATTTCTCAGCTCATTTCTCTGACCCTGAGCTACTTCATTGACAGGTTGGAGTTTGTGTCCGTAATGATCATCCGAATGCTGACAGACGACACATAAAAGTTCCTTGTCATCCACACAGAACAGCTTGAATCTCTCACCATGCAGCCGGCAGCAGACCTCTCTAGAGATGCCATTACTTATTGGTGACGTTTTCCTGCAGATTGGACAGGTTGGTATTATTTTGCCCTCCCACCATTTATTCAAACACTCTGCGCAGAAGCTGTGGCTGCAGAGCAAATCAACAGGATCCCTGAAGATGTCCTTACAGATGGGGCAATTCAAGTCCACAGGTTTTGGAGGCATTTCTTCTGGCTTCTTTGGAAACTATTTGCTCAAGCAACCAAAGTTCCTGCTAAAGTCTGATCTCTCAGCAGATCCTCCGAGTTTAATCTGCGTGAGGATTGTTGGATGTTTTGTATGTTCAAGTCAAGGAGGAGGGACTTGTGATTACAGGAAAACCTCAGGCGAGTCATGGATGGGGCGGAGCCTTGACAAGTCATGTCTTATGTAGGTCGATGTTGTCAAACTTTAACTGCTGAGATTATATTTTAAATCTGAAGTTTTTAGAAGTGGTCATTCTTTTGAATATGTTCTATACAACAAGCCCAACTTGTGCTTTATTTCTAGTTTTATGGTTTTGTTTGTTTGACCCAAATGCAAAACCTCCAAGTCATCTCTGCTAGAGATTTATGCTGAGGAAGGAATGGAAATACCTGAGCTCAAACTCTTCAACATTTTTGTAGCAAGTTTTTATTGATTTTAAATACAAACAAGTCAATGTATTATTGCTTTTATATAGGAAAAAACCAAATGTTCTATTACAAACAATAAGCCAAAGGATGTAATTATTTCACTGCAATAATTGACTAAATGTAAATTACTTTCATCCAGTTCATTATTATTATAAAGGTTCTTTAATTATTTTGCTTCTGTTTTTTGTAGAATCACAGATAAAACAGCTTTCAGTCCAGACAAACATTTGACCAGAACACATTGTTTAGAAGGTATTTGTGACATGCTGAAATGTTGTTCCCACTAGCCATAAATTTATTGCAGGAAATAAAACCCAAAATTACCCATGAGGTGACAGTCAAGAAGAAAGTACCAATAACTTCCTACTGCACACACTTGATGTCAAACGTCCAGTTTGGCTCCATATCCCACAACACAATAGACATTAAGGCAGCTGGAGCTTTTCTCATTGTTGATGTTTCATCACAAGACAAACAGAAAAGAAACAAAAGGACAAAACTCCATTCAGCAGCAGATGACCACTCATCCAGCCGCTCATCCAGCTGCTCATCCAGCTGTTCATCCAGCTGTTCATCCAGCCGTTCATCCAGCCGCTCATCCAGCCGTTCATCCAGCTGCTCAGTCAGCTCCACCTTCCTGCTGGTCGGGACTCAACGCCGCTGTGAGTCCCGACCAGCACCGGCTCATAACTGATGGTTGGGCCTCCGTTAGCAAAAAGCCCAGTAAGGGTGTGTGTGTGTGTGTGTGTGTGTGTGTGTGTGTGTGTGTGTGTGGTGTGTGCGTGCGTGTGTGTCTTTTCCATTAAATTCCTTATTTAATAGGAAAGCAGCAATTGCAAAATTATGTTTTTTTTACTCCAACAGAATATTTACCAAGATTATCATGGAAATCCAGCTTGTGTCAATGGCTCTGCTCCAGTATTTGTTTGTTGAAGGTTTAAATTTAGCTCTGAATACTTTACTGGTGACGACAGCAGATACTGGGAAGGCTATGCTCCACTCAAACAGCCCAGTTGTCTGACTGGTTACCTGCCTTCATTAGTCCTTCAATTTTTCAAATGTTCTTGTTTCAGAAAAATGATGAATGAAAAAACAAGTAATGGTTGAACTCCGAGGATGAGTCACAAAACTTGTTTTCTACAGTGAGTTGCTTTTACAAATAAAACGTGATCAAATGTAGATAAAAATGTATGAAATATGTAACATAAAATAGGTGGTTGCATAAGTATTCACGCCCGTCAGGATTTATTTGAGCCTCTGGATGCCGCCCAGCAGCAGTTGGTGTGGGTCAGTCTCACTCTGGCTGCTCATCTGGATGCTGCCATTTTTCTCATTTCTTCCTGATAAAGGAGTCTGGTCCGGGTCCGACGGCTGCAGGAGCCTCTGCTGGAGCTTCCAGTTGGTGCACTGGGAGCCTGCTGCCCACCAGTTTGCCTGGAGGTGAAACCTCCCATGACCAGTCTGGTCTCTGGAAGCTGCTGGAGGAGAGACATGGGGAAGCACAACACTCTGGTTCTGGCTGAAGTCCTGGAGTCGGCTGCTTGTCGCTTTGTTTTGGAACTATTTCTGGAGCAACAATCGTAATGTTTTTGTTGTTCTGTGCTTGTAGAGAAAACCTCCTGTTGTTGTTGAGAATGTTAGCAAACTGCCTCTGACTTGTCAATGAAGGTCACTGAAATGAGAATATTCGGTAAAAATCCATTGATTGATTGATCATGGGGAGGCTGCTGTAATTTTTATCTCCACATCCAGCATTCTGTATTGGTCCACTGAAAAGCACCTTCATTTTTAATTGTACTTAAAAGATAATGAAAGTTATTTTCAGTCATTTTTTATAAGCACCGTAGTTAGGACAAACTAATGCTTGAAAAAAGACCAGGAATCACAACGATTCCTCTCAGAAAGGAATCATTTCACAAATGATTCCTGGAATCATAGAGAACCAAAGAGGAGAGATGATCCTTGCAACACTTTTGGCTGGGAGGGCGTCGTTTCCAGGAGTTTACGATCAGGCAGTGACACAGACAGCTATTTATGTGGTTCGGTGCTCCTGACATCAGGTCTGCAGGGTCAGTCGTGTTTGCGCTACGGTCGTCTCTGACATCTAATCTGGACACTTTCAGCCCACTTTCTGACACTGAGTCGGTCCAGAGGCTTTATAGTCTTACATTTAAAAGATTTTCTT